TGCCCATTCAACAAAAGCGAAATTTAATTAAATCACTTGCTACCCGCATCCGACGCATCTGTAGTCCCGACGTTCTGGAAACAGAATTAGATATTCTGAGAGAAATATTCATCCAAAATGGATACCCAATAAGATTTATCGACAAAAATATGAAACCAATAATTCGGAAAAACGAAACTTTAACTGCGCCTAAAAAGAAAATCTACATGAATTTGGATTTCAAGGGAGATTTAGCAAGCGATATTCTCAAGAGAAGGATCACATCATCTCTGAGAAGAACGTTCTTTGTAGCAACGCTACGAATAGTGTTCTCCAGTCGCCCACTGATCTGCAGAAGCCTCAAGGACAAGATCCCGCATCTGGCCACTTCTATGTGCATATACCAGTTCACCTGCTGCTGTGGAGCCAGGTACATCGGTCGTTCGACGCGCATCCTGTCCAAGAGAATTCAAGAACATTATCCAGCATGGTTGCGAAAAGGCAATACTGGTGCAATAAGGAGTGCGATAATTGAACACCTGGTCAACACTGATCATTGCATTTCAACGAACGCCTCCTTCAAAGTAATCTACAGAGTCAAGAATAACATATCAAAGGCAATACGGTTTCGTCTCCTTTGCATCGCTGAAGCTCTGGCCATTCACATGGAAAAACCGGAGCTGTGCATACAAAAGAAGATTACTCAACCACTTCTACTCTCATGGTAACAATGTTTTGATTTGTTTTGAGCTTTTATTTTTATTTTGATGACTTAATTTTGTTTCTTTGCCTGTTCCTTAATTGCTTATAATTCTTGTATTCACTTAAATCTCTTACATAGTTTCGTATTATCTACTTTGTTTCTATGTGCATCCTGAGTAAAACTCACTCATCAAACTATTCATATTATTATTGCATAACTTCTTTTAACAACTGTTTGTGACAACTCATCACCTTTGTTACTACCCTAGCACTTAATGGTCTTGACTTATATTACCAACCTTTACCTGTTTAGTTAAAATAACCTTAAGCAATTATAATTCTTGTATCCACTTTGATCTCTTACATAGTTTCGTATTATCTACTTTGTTTCTATGTGCATCCTGAGTAAAACTCACTATTATTATTACAACTGTTTGTGACAACTCATCATTTTTTTACTACCCTAGTTTCATTAGCACTTAATTTTCTTGACCTGTATTACCAACCTTCACTTGTTTAGTTAAAAGTAACCTTAACCAATTGTAACTTTGTTTGACAAACTTAATGTACACATACATACAAAACAATGCATATATATTTGCGATTGTACAGCTAAGAAAATGAATTCGCCGAAAAGAGACTCTTCGCTGATCTACGTGTTTTGTTTTCATTAAATAAATGTTTACCATTATTATTATTATACTTATCTCAATATTGGTTGGTCATCGTATGCCTACGACCACGAGATGAAAACGAGACGAGGTTGATTTCCCGCGCAACCTGGAGGACAACTGTTCAATTCAATAACTATACGGCCTGGCGCAAACAATTAGTGTATTTACATATATATATATATCAAATATTTAACTGTTGAAACATTATTAACTTGTAGACAATCTACGATTTGATATTATATCATATCATTATATCATATCGTGCCTGCAAAATGGCATGTATTTTCATGTAAATTTATATGTTTGTATGATAATACACATTATTTTTGTTATAAAGAAGCAACTGGTTTTCAAACTGTTTTCAAAATTTTACTCAACTTACGAGTACAGTCCGCCATGCAGACACAAATGGCGCAAATGGAGAATTCTGGAATCGACCTCGGCACCATTTGATGCAGTAAAACACCTTAACATGACCTTATCTAGTTTCCGCCTCCACAATCAAATTTCTTTCCTGTTATGAAACTACGATAAGACTGCTGAAAAATGGAATAAATATATCACTGATCTCAACATAATACATCAATAATCTTTAAGCCAAGGGTGCTGTTCACAACAAAGTTATATAAGAGAATTGACTTCAAGCTTTATTTTTCCCAGATATCTGTATTACATTCATCTGATGTCTGGGTGTTTTGTTAATCCGAAGGCAATATTTCTATATCTTTTTATGTGTTACACAAACAGACTATATAGCAGACTGTTCCGACTGTCTCTAATGTCAGAAAGAACAGCCAAACTGTAAATCCATTATACATCAAATCATGTGTAATTTATATAACAACTTATTCATGCCTGTACAATAAGTATGTTCCTGCTTAAACAGGGAGAAATATACATTATTACAAAAGAACGAAGAGAGGTTCGAGTACGCTACCTTGAATTACGCACGTTGATAGTAGAAAAAGTGTCGTCAGTTTTAGCAGATCGAGACTGAGCACACATAAGTGAATTAAACCTGTCAGACAACTCTCAGTAACTGTCAATGTCCAGCTCTTACCACGCTGGACCTCACGCTGTCCCTGAAACATCTTACGGGCCAGTGTCTCCTACAGATTCTAATCTTTCAGACCTTTGAATGCGCTACTCATCAAACTATCACTTATAAACTTGGCAATAATTCTTCAGCGAAGAGCTGTTATACACCGTTGTAGCTTAACTTTCTAGTCCTTCTATGAGGCTAAGACTTACTCTTTTCATTCTAGTACTTCGCCCTCCTAAAGTCTGGTTGTGGTGATGAAGGAAATACGACAACAACATCAACGTTTCAGCATAGCTATATTTTCGTTGAAACTTCATGGTTTCTACGGTAGGACCAATATGGTTAGCATTATATACCGCAAATGTACATTACCATCCCAAGGACTCTATCGCTCATTCTTTGATACATCTTGTAAATGTACCTTCAATGATGTTTTATCCATAATTCCATTTTGCACCCTTTTGTAGTTTCTCAGAACGTTCTTCTCTTCCTGAAATGGCTTTTGATCGCATGTGAACACAACAATTACCCACATACGGACTGTTGATTGGTTGACCATAACTATCATCAGGAAACGGAATGAAGTTCGGGTCGCCGCCCAACCTTGTTGGTGACCTTATTAAGGGATTTACACTTTGTCATTTACACGAACCTGTTCTGATTGCTTGTACTACTACTACTACTCAACTATTTAAACTTTTGAAATGGTGTCTATTCACTGACACTGCAATATTGCAATTCATACCATATCCTATCATGCGCGTAAAAATGGCATGCATTTCATACAAATTTGCCTGTTTACACAAAATATAAATTGTGATTTTCTCGGCACACGCGATATGTCAAATTCCAGTGGAAACTCTCAATACCGTAAAAAGTATCAAATAATAACATATATCGGGCACATTTTCCCTAGTGATGGTGTTGATCGAATGTTAGTTTTATGAGTATTTCATGATACGTGTAAGACTTTGCAGCCATATTTGAAAGTCATTCGATTTACTGGTAAGTTAAATTTGGAGAGGCAGTGGTTAAATCGGAAGTATCATCTTGCTGTTCTGGTTTCTTTAAAAATCTGGGTAGCCTTCCGAGTTCCCTACATTGTACGAGCGTTTCATGCGCAAATGTTTGTTTTGACTTCATAGTAAGAAGACAAATCGGATGGGTGTCTTTCCAGAGGCTCTCAGAAGCCGGCCACATTCTAATTAAGACCTATTTTATGTTGATAGTTTCGGAGTACTCTGAAGTTTCTGTAGTGTCTAGATTGGTTTTCCGTGATTGAATCGAAATCCACTCCCAAAACTCCACCTTCTCACAGGCTTACAACCGGCTAGAAACTAAAGAATATGTCGAAAGTTGAGGTAAATGACTGTAGCACTTATTTGCCAGGTGGTGATGCACGTGCAGTACCATGTCTGAGCTAATTAATTATTGAGGTTCCACATGTAGTGAGACCGAACTCACCTCCCTGTCACCTGGTTGTCGATGTCAAGAATCCGGGCATTCACATTCACTGCAGACTCCGCCATGCTGATATACACCAGATAGAACATGCCATCCATCAAAACTTTGGGTGGCCACTGTGGCATCATGGTGTCTCTGAGCTCTATCACCTGTGATATCTGTGGCTGAGAGAAGCCACCCCTACAGCCATCGCGAGTGCTCCTCATAACCATATTAACACAGGTACAGAAGCAAAGATTGGGTGCTTGTATCATGGAGGCACTCACAACTTCGAAACGAGAATACCGGAGTGTGAAACGGTGCAACCACTCTTGGTCTGAATTTCAGTGGGCGTCGAATTTCTCTGCTCGGGACCCCACAAACACTACACTGTAACCGCAGTGTCGTTCTTAAGAGTCAATTTATTGCTAATATCTGCAGTGCTTTCCGTATGACTGCGTTCGGCCCACATGGCTGTTTATTTCGCAACGGAGAGTGATTTAGTTTTTGATTCATTTACGTTCTCAGTGGGGCAGGGCTTCAAGCTAGGGCTTTGAAGTTTCGGTAGCAGTGGCATTTGTTTTATGGGGTGGAGTTACTAGCCTAATACCCAACCTTCCCTCTTTACTAGCCGTATTACTGGCTTAGTGGGGCAAGGGAGTGCATAGGCCAGATATAGGACCCTGGAACACAAGCATGGCTGGCGGGTTTTCTACCGTTAAGCCACCGAGAGCTGAGTGGTTTACTGGAGAGCACTAATCGGACAATTAGCGCCCTTCTTCGCCATTCTCTCTGTCGATTGACGATAAATACCTGGTATAATGTAATATCCCTTCCCCCACTCCCCGACCACTCCTCCGTTCATCCATCCATGGACATTTCTCCTACTCCACTTCTGTTTACTCACGAATCACATCCCATAGTTGAGGTTCAAACACCAGTCCTATCCTTTGCTCAGTTAGGTTCGAGAATCGCGTAATTGATTGGCAATAGCCTATGATAGGGCATGCACTAGAGATGTGTCATCTAGCTATCGGTGTAGAAACACATACGGTCTTCCTATTTGTGGATTTTTTTCACTCAATTGGCATTTATTTTCATTTCTGCTGCCCATCAGGATGAAGGTGAAAATTCTACTCCTCATCTGAGAGGCCACATGCAATCACGCATGCACAACACCTAAATACGTGTTTCATGAAAGATTGTCACTGTTGCTGCTCACTGTAGTCAGCTGGGACCCTACCGTGCATTCTATCAATACAACCTTCCCAAATTCTACAAACTAGCAGCTTGATGAACAGATTATCAAGTCTCTTAAACTTGACACTGAGGAGAGGAGACAGAGAAACGAAGGGAGACTGTATAGATTGCAAGGGATTCACTCCCACTCTTTCAGTTTGATGCAGGCTAACTTCACGCATGCTGTTCAATATGTGTTCTGCTTTGTTTATCTGTCTGCTCATCCGATTGTCTAAAAACATTGGCGGGCTCCTGAGAATCCACTCAGCTTTTCAGACTCAGATTTATTGGTTACTATGAGTGAGAGCATAAAAGTTGTGTGCCGTGTGAGGCCACTTAACGAGCAAGAGAAAGCAAACGACAGCAAGTTTGTGGTGTCATTCCCCGGTGATGGAGACACAACTGTATCTCTTGGGGTATGTTTGATGGTTTTCAAACTTGTGACAACTCTTCTATCTAGGGTAAAATCTTTAGCTTTGATCATGTAGTTCAGCCGAAGGCATCTCAGTTAGAGGTGTACGAAGTTGTGGCCAAGCCTATTGTTGCAGATGTGTTGAATGGATATAATGGAACAATATTCGCCTATGGTCAAACATCGAGTGGAAAGACTTATACTATGGAGGTATGACATTCTGTTTTCTGATTGTTTCTCCTCAGGGTATTTTAGGTGACCCAGTTTTTCAAGGTGTTATCCCGCGGATAGTTGATGATATATTCAACCATATATACCAAATGGACGAGAACTTGGAGTTCCACATTAAGGTAATTTTTGTGGTGCTGCTCTTCTTATCTCCAGGTTTCTTACTTTGAAATATACATGGAAAAAATCCGTGATCTGCTTGATGGTAATTTTTTCGCTCTAACTTATATCTTGATTCAGTTTCAAAAACAAACCTACCGGTGCATGAGGACAAAGACCGAGTTCCTTACGTGAAAGTAAGATATAATTCCTCCTAACGAGAATGTTTAAGGGTATCACGGAAAAGTTTGTTTCCACTCCAGAAGAGCTTTTCAAAGCGATTGACGAGGGGAAGGCTAACCGTCATGTAGCCGTGACGAGTAAGTATTCTTAGTATATGTCGTACCTGAGTGTTAGCTAGGCGTGGTGGTTTGACTGAAATATTGCTTTTTTGTGCATGAAATTCAAGTTATCTTGGGGGTTTATGTGACGCTAATGTTTGACTTCTTATCCATTTATAGACATGAATGAGCACAGTTCTCGAAGTCACTCAGTCCTCCTGATCAATGTTCGACAAGAGAACTTGGAAACTCAAAAGAAACTACATGGGAAACTTTATCTTGTTGACTTGGCTGGTAGTGAGAAAGTTGCGAAGACAGGCGCTGAGGGTACTGTGTTGGACGAAGCCAAAAATATTAACAAATCACTTTCTGCTCTTGGTAATGTGATCAATGCACTTGTGGAAGGAAGTGTAAGTTTATGCTCTCAGGTTGTGGTGGTGGTATTGTAGCCAGTGTTGACTTTGAATTTCCATGTGATTAAGACGCATAAGATATTGAATTGTTCTGTGTTGATCACGCCTATTTGTATGTGCTCGCTTGTTAGCAGAGTTCTGTACTGTGTGTTTCTGAGGCAGAAGAACCCATCACACTAACTCATATTTTTAGCTTCTACTACGACTAGAATCTCTTGTCTGCATATGTTGTGCTTATTTGAAGATGACTGCCACTACCTTATCAAGCTATTGATCTGTTAAATGATTTCCTGTTTCAGTCTCACGTCCCTTATCGTGACTCTAAACTAACTCGCATTCTTCAAGAATCTCTTGGAGGGAATGCACGAACAACTATGGTGATCTGTTGTTCTCCTGCTGGTTATAATGAAGCCGAAACGAAGTCGACCCTAATGTTCGGTATGCGAGCCAAGACCATCAAGAATTTGGTAACGGTGAACGAAGAAATTACGGCTGATGAATGGCGTAGGAGGTATGAGCAAGAAAAAGAGAAGGTTGGTAAATCACACACTATTGTAAGTCATCTGGAGAGTGAATTAAAACGTTGGCGAGCAGGTAAGGAATACTTACTGTGACTGTTTTTTGCTTAAGTTTAACTCGTAAGTTTTGAAATTAAGGACTCAGAATTGTTGATGTCGTACCAATTACGAGAATTCAACTTGAGCTGTTTCTGCATGACAGTTGTGTTGATTCGTCTTTTCGTAAATTGTATCTTTTTGAGTAGGAATAGAGAATGTAAAGGATGGGAATGTGAACCAATAGCACAGAGGGAAAGTAAGATATTGATGTGGGAGTTTGCTTGAAATATTCAAGGTATCAGCAGCATAAAGTGACTGAGTTGCTCAGAGCAGATATCTGGTGTATCGGACCGTAAGCCACAAATATTTTGTAAAGACTAATGTCGTTGGAAACAGTTATAATTCAATGTGGAGAAATGACGTGTAGCAGTTAAGATCACTAGTGGAGTAATATTCTATTCTACTTTGGTATTATGACAAAGTGGTCACAGGAAATCATTCCAATCATCACCCCTATCACATTGAACTCGTGTGTATGGGCTGAGGAAAGGTGTAATAATTCCAGCGAACATCGTGCATAAATATAGAAGTTGACTTGAACCAAATTTTTGTTGTCATATAATCTGTGTTATATGTTAAATTTCAGGTGAAACTGTTAATCAAGCTGATTGGTTCACGGAAAATCAATATGCTGGTGCCCTAGATGATACAAGAGATTCGACAACTAGATCCAGTGTCCCCAGTACACCTATGCTAGACAGCGTCACTACTTCTACACCACGATCTGCTGCTCTCACAAATGCATCTCCAGGTAGTCTATTTCGTCTCCTGTTGGTAGTCGTTCTTTCATAATATTTTGTGTTAATACTATTTTTTACTTTCATTTGTCATTTCACCTTATGTTATTGATGAGTTTTGTGTAAGTCGGTGAATCTAGTGACTTCTAACTTCCCTTCTCCACATTGTTTTGTTGGTGTAGTGAAGTAGTGATATTTTTCTTCTCAGTTGGTGAGATAGTTAGCACTTGAGGTAGCTTCGTTTTCCCAATGTAGACATTGGTGGTAGAACTGTAGCTGAGGTTGGAGAAGCTCTCTGTGATCTAAGACGAAGCGGATTGCGTCAATTGACCGACAGCGTGGCTCTTCAGGTGTTTCAAAATGGGAGTGGTGAATAGTGGAGTGGGGTAGTTGGTGTTCTAGTCAATGTGGTCTGGTGGTCTTAGATAGTTTCATCAGATTTGTGTAGATGGCCAGGCTTCCCCTGTGCTGATCACAGGGGGATCAGACTGGTTGATATTGTATCTAGGATACTTTGGGAAATGAAACAGTCAAGCATACAGGCTGCAGTTCTAGGCAAAGGTGTATTATGATTTCCTCTCTATCCAACAGGTTTTGAGGACAAGCTTGTTTTTAGAGTCTAGCATTTCACATATTTCGTGACTTACACGTCTGTCTGTCTGTCTGTTTTCGACATCGAACTATGCACCGATGTGCGGAAGTTCAAGTCGCCACACTCCTTGTAGCACGCGAAGCAAGAGAAGAAAGTACAAGAAAAGCATAATAGAAACAGTGAGCAGAGGTGTGAGACAAAGGAGGAGTATTGACGAAGAACAAAACAGTTTCATAGGAAATCATAAGTCACAAGGAGTGGATGCATCTGCGATAGCCACTGAGAACGATTTTGAGCCATGTCACCAATTGTTTCCAACCATTGGTTTTTACCGTCCCGAGGACCCCAGCCTGGAAGTCTACACCTTCCTACGTGGCTTAGACCAACTGTTGTGGATTTTATTGACTGGTTCGGCCAAGTTTTTGTTTGACAGCCGCTAGCTATTTTCCAGCCTGACCCAATATCAGCCAACATTGCTCGTCGAGGGAGGCGATGGCTTGGCATACGTAACACATGGCCTACACGTAGAATTTGACTTCATCTGACTTATTGAGAAATGATGTTGACTTATTCCAGCAGACCTACTCGGGTATGTGCAGCTGTTTTGAGGGTATATAGAAAGTTGTGTTCGGTTGGCGATGATCAATGTGCTTGCACTAAGAACGCTCACTGTCACTATCTGTACCTAATTTAGTTTGGTGAATGACGTATTGGTGTTTCTTTTACATTGGTGTCAGTAAGTAATTGCAAGTAATTCTCTTACCTCTCGGTACTCGTCAGAAAGATATACCGTCAACATCGGAGAGAGCCTGTGATTTTCGGTGATTTGTCAGTCGTTACCGACATCTACAACGTTACTACCAAGCTGTTTAGCCTGAAACTGACGTGAGTATGATCTTAGTGAGCTTAGTGACAGCATCATGTACATGATTAGTTTTCATCGACGCTTATGACTGAAGGAAGTTTCGAATTGGCTACGGTTGAGTGACCATTGTGCACTTGTGTCAGTGTAGTGATTGTTGGTGTGAACATGTGAGGGGTGTTTAGACCGTCTGGCTGAGCTGAGGGTCCTTGGAATAGTGAAAATCATTAAGTAGAGACTCGGTACGGTAACTTAAACTTCTGTGCGGATCTGTGCTCTGATCAGTAATTCAAACAGAGGGTATCTTCTATACCGAGTAAGCTTACTAATTAATTAATTAAATAACTATTTGAACTACTGATTGGTTGTTGTTTGTGTGTATTTCTGAGTGAACTGATGGCACTTTGCCAACCAAGAAGGTGTTGTTGCAATTCAGAAGTGTTTATTCCATTCTGATTATATGCCTGCCTCGACGTTTTATTCTGGTATGCGAAATTATCGAAATGTATTTGATGATTTGTCAGTTTCTTTTTGATTTAGTCTTGTTTTGTTGAAACCATGAGATATTACGCGTTCTTGTCGTATCATAAATACTATGCAGAATGCTGATCACCGTGTGTTGTTTTTTCTCTCAGCCTACACTCCGGGCAATATTTTTTTTTTTTTTTTATTGGCGCTGGTTTTACTTCAGCGAAAAATGTTGGAGATGTACAATTACAGTTGCTTTATCAACAACTTGACGACAAAGGTGATGAAATAAATAAACAAGCTGAGACAATAGCACGTCTTCGACAGCAAATTGAAGAGCAAGATGTGAACAATTCTCTGCGTACAGAAAGTGAAGGACAATTTAAAGAAATCACAGCTCTTCAGGTAAGTTGTAGTACATATTTCGAACATGTTTTTATAAATTTATATATTCGTGGAACTGTATTGAAAGTTGATATATTTTAGCTGTTATAATTAACTGCTTTTAACATTTGATTGATTTTCTGAGGTCCGTTGTGTTGCTTTCCAATTGGGGAGTAGAAGGCGGTGGGTGGAAGTTGAGAGAAGGCAAGACTCAATGGCCACTTGGATTTTGACGAATTTGTCGTTGAGTCACACCTATTGTATGTGAGCTCCAGTTAGTGATATAATAGTGTTTTTGTGTCAGTCAAGAGATTTTTAAAAAAAGGCTATTTTTGTAATAAATCTCTCATGTGTTTTTATGTGAATTAGCCTGGAATGCTTTCTTCCTTCTCAGAGTGCATGTTATGTTGTTCGCTTATTTTAGTGAACTTTCAAGCAGTAGTAACAGTAACAGCGGTGGGAGTAGTAGAAGAAGAACTGTGGTTTGACTGAAGTTCACTGGTGGTGGTGATGATGATGATGATGGTGTAGGCATGAGTTATCGTCATTCATAGTGGATGAGTGAAATTACTGAACTCACATGGTACTCACACATTAAGTTGAGAAAGACTGTAAATAGATGAGATGTGGGAGGAGATTGTGGAAACTTTCAGACTGAAGTGTAGGTGTTTGTTTTAAGTATAACCGTTTCATCATAATTGTGATGAATCGGCGGGTATTAGAGTACTGAAGTTATTTCGCTCTTCTTTGTAAAGCACATGATGACTGCCATTCGTCTTTGACAACCAGCAAACATGGATTTTGCCTGTCCATTAATCCCTTTATATTCTAGGTGGTATCAGTTATCCACTTTCATCCTTACTGCATCCCTCCCTCTCTTCCTCCTCATCCCGTCTGCTCTGTGGGAGAAATACTCACCGAAGTCAACATAACTCACCTAGTATTGTATTGATAGGATTATTATGCTCACAGTTTTGTAATTTTTGTGAAATGTTCCGTCTAAATGCAGTTTTTTCTCCCCTTATTGTGTGTGTGTGTGTGTGTGTCAAGGCTAAATACCAGTCGAGGAAAGATGAAGCGAAAGAAGTCCTGCAAGCCTTAGAAGAATTAGCAATGAATTATGACCAAAAGGCTCAGGAGATTAATGCGAAAGCGAAAGAACTTGAAGAGACTCAGGAAACCTTGCTACTACAAACCAGTTTAATGCATAGTAAAGACTGTGAACTGTCACAGTTGAAGGATGCACATGAAAATCAGAAGAAGAAATATGCTGAAATGATGTCTAGCCTGTTGAAGGATCTAATTGATGTTGGTGAATGCTTGAATGATCGAATCACGGTAGGTTTAAAAGTATTTATGAATTTTGTTTTATTATTGAATGGGTTGTTATTCTAAGGATGTGAGCACCCTGAGTAGGGAAGTAGTCATGGCGCATACACTGCTTTGATAAGTTCACTATGGCGGGATGAGCGTATTATCGTCGCATAGAATCTGGCCTGTTTGCATAAGCCGTTGTTGCCACATTAAATTACATTAGTGGAGTAAATAATAAGAAGTAAGATGATGGGATGGATCATTACCTAGTGACGTCTGGGATCGCACTCAAATGAATGATAACGCAACGCACAAACTATCCTTCTACGGCGCCACATCATGGTCTGACCACTTCTCGTTTCGCTTTGAATCAGAAGACTGTCAGACAGTGAATGGTATGGAAGCTATCAAGACAACATTTGTAGCACGTGCTGAAGCCATGGAAGGCGTCATCGCAAGATGATATCACTTTTGAGAGAAGGACTATGTCTACCGATTTGTTTGTTCTTCTATGCAAACATGTGTTGAAATTCAGTCAGTCAATTATCATAAAAACATCCATTCAGTTCCAGTATTATTTCATCCGAACTTGCTGCCTATTGTGTTATCAATGCGGTTTTAATCCGTAATTGGGCAAAATGGACATCCTTCCTCAGTGATTATATTCGTGTTATCTTTTGTGTTATCCAATCTTCGTGTTTATTAGATTTTGTAATTTTATTAATTTGATTCTTCACCGACCGGAAATAATTATGAGGCTTTCTCACCCACACACGAATTTACGGCCGAGTTGATGACTTGATCGAAAAGAATATTTTCTCCTCTGTAACCGTCTTTTTGATTCTGTACAGGGGAGAAAACATGTTTATATTAGTGAGTGTAATTGAAGGAAAATGTAGTCAAATTAGTTAGTTAGTTGGTTAGTACGTTCGACTACTGTCTCTTCTTATCAGGGAATATTTCTCGAAACTTTCTGAGACAGAAAGTGATTAACTGAGACGTACATGTATGTGGCTGGCAAAGAAAGTTCTCTATATAATTGACAGAGACTAATACATCCAACTTTCTGCAGTGTAAAGTTGTTTGTGGTACATAACGGAAAGTGACAGTGGCCTTACTGTGTTGCCTATTCTATTTCATTGACTTTCTGTTGAAAAAGGCGGTATTGCTTCAAATTCGAGTCCTGTCTCACCCATCCCTCAAAAAATAAGTTCAGCTCATGGTCTAGTGTTACTAGAATTGTGTAAATGGCTAGTCCATTTCTGTATGCATCACCCTTGTCATCATCAACCTTACATGATGTTGTGATACCTTGCGAAAGTGAATATTTTGTTTTAGGAAATCTGAAGATGGAGATATGAACCCCTGTGACATTGTATTACAGTCAAGAATATTTCGGCTGATCTGTTTTAACAGATGACATCGTTTTGTGTCAGCTAGATTGATAGTTGTTGAGTGAGGGTTTTGTCGACTAGGTTTAGTAGTTCACCGGTTAGGATTAGATGTCATGGGGCTAAATAGACTATTGGACCTCAATCCTCTGCGTTGGAACTGATTACTCTGAAATGACTAGTCAGTTTGGGAAACTTCATTTTCATCTCTGATTTATTATTTCTACTCCGACTGTTGATTACAATTCCTCATGTTTTCTTTTTCCCTCCCTCTTTCTCCCTCCTGTGTTTTCTGTTGACGACGACATCAGAAACCATCCGTTGGTTCTGAACGATTAGATGAAGAGTTTACTGTTGTTCGTTTGTATATAAGTAAGTTGAAAACTGAGGCGAAATTACTGCACTCACGTGTACGTCAATTGGAAGAGGAACGTGTACAACATGTACAGTTAGTGCGTAAGAGCGATGATGAATCTAAAGATCTTCGAAGACAACTTCATGCTGTAAGTCAATTATATATGTTGTATTGTTATGCATGAAAGCCGAATCATAATAGTTCAGTCGGAATGAAAGCTAGTTGTCAAGTGTAGAGGTATGGTGGACAGATGATACATCGTGACTCCGTTGGCTTAATCACTTGACTTTTAGCTTCATTGTATGACGAGCTGACACCTGTTGTGTTAAAGATAAAGCTATTATCATGACTCGCATTTGCCAGTTTACGCCGACTCTGGCGTAGACGAGATGTTCGACTATCGACCAAAGGGCGGGTGTACTGCTCATCAGTCCGCTCCGTCCTCCTTTATGGTTGTGAGACCTGACCACTGAGAGTGGAAGACATGAAAAGACTAGCTGTCTTTGATCATACGTGTCTGCGCTCTATTTCCCGTGTAAAGCGGCATAATAAGGTGAGCAACATTGAGGTTAGGCGTCGAGTTCTAGGTAAACAGGGGAAATCAATCGACGAAGTCGTGAAGTTACAAAGACTGAGATGGTTAGGACATGTGTTACGTATGCCAAGTCATCGCCTCCCTCGACGAGCAATGTTATCGGATATAGGGTCAGGCTGGAAAAAAGCTAGCGGCGGTCAAACAAAAACTTGGCCGAACCAGTCAATAAAATCCACAACAGTTGGTCTAAGCCACGTAGGAAGGTGTAGACTTCCAGGCTGGGGTCCTCGGGACGGTAAAAACCAATGGTTGGAAACAATTGGTGACATGGCTCAAAATCGTTCTCAGTGGCTATCGCAGATGCATCCACTCCTTGTGACTTATGATTTCCTATGAAACTGTTTTGTTCTTCGTCAATACTCCTCCTTTGTCTCACACCTCTGCTCACTGTTTCTATTATGCTTTTCTTGTACTTTCTTCTCTTGCTTCGCGTGCTACACGGAGTGTGGCGACTTGAACTTCCGCACATCGTGCATAGTTCGATGTCGAAAACAGACAGACAGAAATTATCAAGACTTACAAGCCCAATGAATGTGTTCAAGGCTTTGAAGGCGTTATCTACTGGGTCTAGGGATGTAAATATATCTACCTGAATGACAAATGGAACGGGATCCGCTTCCTGAATTTCTCAGTTGTTCAATGACATAGTCGGATGGATGATGGTAGAACGTAGTTGATAGAACTTTGATTGGATGCAGGAAATGTATGTGTGTAGCTCAGTGATTTAAGCAGACCATTGCATTCATCGCACACGGATATGTGTGATTGGTGAAAGGAGGATTAACAGTTCGTGTGTCTGTTCTGTTGAGAATTTATCAAAATACGGTGTGTTGAGGAGTTGAATTGAAGGTGACTATGCAGAAGTTTGTTTATACAGCTGACCTATTACTCATTGGGGGTTTAGTCATTTAATTGCTAACCATTGTTTGACGGGTTGTAATTCCTCCACAGCTGGCAAGATTTGATCATTTGGGTGTGTGTGTGTGTGAGTGTGAGTGAGTATGGATAAGCTCTGACACTGCAGTAGATGTGCAACTCTGGTTAGCAATAAACGGTGTGTAGATGCAACTGATTAGTTGGCTGGTTGGTTGTTGAGCGGTAAACATTTATAGTTATTCACACTCGACTTAAGTAATGTTTATATTTAGGTAGGTGTTATTTCTAATGTTACTTCTAAGCATTCCTTCATTTTTAATATGCCTTAGTGATTTCTTTTTCTTTCTTGTTAAGTTTGAGGTGAAAGTTGGCGCCCTAAGCGATAAAATTGACGAGTCAAAATCACGTAAGCGTCAATTGCAGGAGACAGTGGATAGCTTAAATGCGGAGTTGGCAAAACTACGCGCTAATGAACAATTGATCGCCATATCTGGTCAACAAAATGAACAAATAATAGCTGATCAGTCAGCGTTACGAGTGAAATTAGATGAAGAGTTTAGACGACAATCAGAGTATTATGCTGCTCAGGTGAAATCTCTTCGTAATGAATTAGACGAGAAACAGAAGAAGTTGGAAGAATATAAAGAGTAAGTTGTCTGTTTCTTGATAGGTGTGTTGTGGAGATGATGTGGTCCACTGACCTGAACTAGTCGAATTTCAGCCCATAGTTCATCATTTCTATTTCCACCTGTCTAATTGTGAGTGGTAATTTGAGGTCTTTCTTCACCGAGTCACTGGGTTGGTGTTATCTCATACAACAGCCTATCTGAGTGAAAAGTGTGTTCAAATCAGCAACCAGCGTGTATACTCTGAGAGCATGTCAGTTGAAATCTCTTAGCACGGTAGGTTGTCTTATTTTCTGTCAGCCAGTGGGCAACTGTATGTGAACGTACAAGATATTGAATGTTCACGTGTTGTATCATCGTCGTTATGATGTTATTGGGTTTACTTTGCTTCGATAATGACCATGATAATGTTCATATATCCGAGTGAATATTTTTCTTATTGTTTGGAAGTGTACAGAAAGGTTCAGTTGAGTCTGGTTGGTTTCTCTGAGAAGAGTTAGACACATGAAATGATTAAAACCAAATATGCGAATATCTTTGGCGTTTTGTATGCATAATCATTTAGTTAGAGCATTATGTACACTATCGCCTGGACAACATTGTTTTTAACTAAAGACAGCACGATTGTGAATGTAGATTGTGTTGGGGAAGCAGGAGAGAGTTTCCAATACTGTCAACCTACTGCTGCTCAACACATATACCGTAGTAGGTAGTCGAGGAAAGACTAAGGTGTGGTTGTGGGGATGTAAGATTTAACAAATTGTAAAAGTTGAGGTTCAGTAGTTCCTCCTCATATCTATTTTTACTCTCATTTTTACATTCACAGTGAAGCTAATACTTTCAAATTACAATCCGAGAAATCACAGGAGGAGGTGAAACAGTTACGTGAAGAATTGGAGACAAAGACCAAACGGCTAGACGTATTTGAGAAGACAGCTGAAAAACGTGAACAGGCCAAACAGGATCTGCGTGGTCTAGAAGAGACAGCCACCAAAGAATTACAAACTCTACACAATTTACGACGATTATTCTTCGAAGATCTGAATAGTCGAGTTAAAAAGGTTTGTGATGTGTGAGAAATGACAATGTCTGTCTGTCTTTCTTGAGTGATATTGTGAATGTGTTTTGATACGTTGTAAATGTGGCATGTTTTCTCTCTCTTCTGAATCACACCAGAGTGGCTGTGTATGGATGGACTCCGTTGGGATCGATGTTTTCTAGGATTGAAGAGGACGAGGATGTGAACAATAGATTTTCAGCTATCGTTGAAGTATAATTAGCTGATGCAACTCAACTGGTAGACCCTAATTTGTTCATGAGGAAGGCAGCTTCTTTTGTGAAGCAGCTCGTCAACTGTGGTAGGTTAATGATACCTCTCTGGCTGTCAGAATGTTTAGTAGGTTATTCCTTAGAATCTAGACGTTGAAAGCACAATTATAGGTGTGCTGTTTCAGCCACTGTTGATTTCCAAATGGTTGGAGGCGGTAAGCGAGAGAAGCACTTGACGTAGGTTTGGTGCTTGTCGCCATTCATCAGCAAGGCGTATCCGCAGTCTTGAAGGAACTCATATTCCCTGTGAGATTGTAACCTGATGCCGCAGTGGCTATTCCTGCTACCGACTGACCTCCTTTAGGACTGTGATGGATGGATGGTTTGGTTGGACAGTCGATAGCAACTAATTGCATATTAGACAAGTTTACTGCAAATATCACACAGTGATTGCAGTGTTATTAACTGGATGACGTTTTGAGCACAAGTCACTACACTCATAGCCATATCAGTTAAGTCACACACCGTGACTATCAGTGGCAATAATATGTGCTCGAAACATCATTCAATTATTGATCAATACTGCATCATCACGGTGTGATATTTGAAATAGACCTATTTATTGTTGAATTACATTCTACCACGGTGTTCAAGTTCTGCACTTACATACACCAGTAACTAGTGTCACACGTCCAGTCCTTGGTTTGTTGCAGACTTCTGTCTGTCTCTGTCTGGATTCAACATAGAACTTGGCACCGAAGTGCACCAGTTCGAGTCGCCACGTTCCAAATAGCACACAGAGGTAGACAAGAAGATGAGTGATGAGAATCAATAGAGTTTGACAAGTATAAGAGTGAAACAGAATGGGTAATGGTAGAAAAGAATATGAAAGATTACAGAGACTGAATACATCTGCGCTGGCCATTGACAACGATTTTGAGCCATGTCACCTATTGTCTCCAGCCATTGATTCCTAGAGTCATCCCGAGGGCCCCAACCCGGAAGTCTGCATCTCCCTCCCTCCTGACTCAGTCTGTCAAGGATTTCATGGATTGATGAGGCCATGTTTTTGTTTGGCCACCACTTACTCTTTTCCAACCTGCACCATATATCAGCTAGTAATGCCCGTCGGGGGAGGCGGTGGTTAGGCATGCGCACCACGTGACCTAGCCATCTTAGTCTATGTAACTTTATAGCCTCGTCGATTGATTTTCCCTCTTTGCCCAACACTCTACGCCTAACGTCAACATCACTTACCTTAATAAACCACCTAACGTGAGAAAGAGATCGTAGACATCTATGATCGAAAGCAGTCAACCTTTTCATGTCTTCAACGCGTATTGGCCATGTTTCAGAGCCATAGAGAAGGATGGAGCGAACTGATGAGCAGTACACACGTCCTTTGGTTGATAGCCGGATGTCACGCCTACGCCAGAGATGGTGTAAGTCAGCAAAAGCAGCTCGAGCTTTTCGGATCCGTGCTGAGATTTCATCGCCAACCAGTCCGTTGGTGCTAATACAACTTCCCAAGTAGGTGAAGTGGTCAACATGTTCTATCACTTCCCTCCCTATCACTAAGTTAGGAGTTGACGTGGTCCAGTCCTGTAGCAGCATCTTACATTTTGCAGGGGCGGATCGCATGCCAAACATACGAAGATTGCTGCTCAAGGTGTTCAGAAGACTCTGCATTTTTTCAGCATCCTCCCCTAACAGAACTATGTCATCTGCATATTCTAAGTCCATAAGGTTATTCCCTGGTAACAAGTCGATTCCTAAGTCATTACGTTCAGTTAAGGATACTTCCATCAGCATATCTATGATGAAGTTAAACAGAAATGGGGAAAGTGGACATCCCTGTCGGACACCACTGGTTGTTACCAATTCAGATGACAATTCCCCATAAGCCCTTACACGACTACGTGAGTTTGAATAGAGTGCCTTGATTAGTGCAATGTACTTTCTTGGCACTCCCTTCACAGTCAGACATTGCCATAGTACCTTTCGATCCACGGAGTCGAAGGCCGACTTCAAGTCAAGAAATATGGCAATTGTTGGACGCCGAAAAGTGTGTCTATGTTCTAGAATCTGTCGAAGAGTGAAGATATGATCTATGCACCCTCTACCTGGTCTAAAGCCTGCTTGATTTTCCCTTGTCTGTTCCTCCCGAGTTCTGCTTAGTCTATGCATGATTACTGAGCCTAGGATTTTAGAGACTATGTTCGTTAGGCTGATCCCCCTATGATTATCACACGAGGACTTATTTCCCTTCTTGAATATCGGTATAATGAGTGACTTACCCCAGTCTGATGACACTGCCTCTGATTCCCAGACTTTGCCTAGTACCTCAGTTAATCTACAAACTAGTATGTCACCCCCATATTTAAACACCTCCGGAATAATTCCGTCGGGTCCTGCCGCTTTGCCTCGTTTCAAATTACTGATAGCTTTTGTGACCTCACTTACAGACGGCGGACCAGTGTCTATATCCCATTCGGGTGTGTGGTGGATGTCGGGGAGGTTCAGTGTGGCTGTAGGCAAGTTAAATTGTCCCTCAAAGTGTTCTTTCCAGCATTCAAGGCGTCCATCCTGAGAGCTAATTAAGCAACCGTTTTTCTCAGAAATAGTCTCACTTATGATTTGCCTTCTCCCACCCGTTTCCCTGATGAGTCTAAAGAGTTGCCTAGTGTTGCCTATCGCCGATGCTTTTTCCATCTCTTTTGCCTTTGTCAGCCACCACGGTTCACGGTCCTTGCGGAGACTTTTAGTAAGTTTCCTTTTGTGCAGCTTTCGCTCCTCATTGAATTCGGAGCTCGCCGGAATAAGTCTTCTAGCATCTATCAGTTCGGATGAGGCAGTCGAAATCCAGTGGTTTTTACTCGAAATCCTGGTGGTTTTTTGGCTTCCATCGTTTTAAGTGGACACAGAGTGAAGAGGGAGTGAGGAGCCATCAAGTAGAGGAGTTGCATCAGTTGGAGGAAGGCAAGGTAATAGAGATGAAGATGAAGACAAAGATGAGTGAGAATTAGAGAGGTTTTGTGTGCATTTCGGATTGTGAGGGCGTTTGTTACTTCCCGGCTGCCCACACCGTGGAAGTTGGTTGCGTGACCGCAGAGCCCAGGGGACAACTGCTTGAGGCCGGTCACACGCAGCCTGTTTTTGTTTGGTGTGCCTCAGTAGCATACTTATCACTCCTGCCCTGTGACACGGCAGCAGGAAGCGCGGTCGTTGTTAATCCGGGCCACGGCCGATCCGGCATGAAATTTTGTGAATTTGTTTGAATCATGGTATTGGATGGGGTAGCTGCTTTTTGTTTAACCGCTATCCAAACAACTTGCAGACTTCAGTTGCAGTCTTGTGTCCAATCAAAGCACTGTTGGTTTCGTTTTTATTAAGAAATGTAATCTGTCCTCAAAAGACCTACCAGAATGTAACTAATGTGAGGACTATTTATAATGTTTAGTGGATGTAGGCAAATAATCGTCAAACAACTGTGGAAGGATTTGTGTCTCATGTCATGGTGTAGCTAATTGTCGGTTTAAGCGGGTTCTACTTTGAGCTGTGGACTCTGGGTCGTAATCCCCTCCACCTAATTGATTCTGCTAATGAATGTGGCTGATGTCCTGTTACATTGAGAAACTCATCCTGGGTAAGTGGATTCTCACAAATGTGTTCTTTTACGTTCTCAGTGGAGCAAGGGGACTCCAAGCTAGAGGGTTGGTGTTTCGGTAGCAGTGGTGTTTACTTTTACGGGATGGGGTTGCTAACCCCATGCCCAACCCAACCTTCCCTCTTCACCAGTCCTATTATTGGCTCATTGAAGTAAAGCAGCGCGTTTGTGACCGGGAATCGAACCCCGGACCACATGAGGCTTGGTCGGTGGGCATTCTACCTCACTCTATCCCATTATTGATTGTGTGGTGACCGCTCATGTGTGTATAGTTTTATGAGACTTGAACATTGTGGATTCAACTGTAGAATTCCATGTTAGTTATTTTGAGTGTCCCGATTTCTCTTTTAGTCTGCAAATCGTGTGAATGCACTGGCAGTGACTGAAATGGACGCAGGTAACCAGGAAGGCGGCGATATGGTCAATCAACAACAAATCTCCGAAAGTCTATTCATGGAGGGTGATGACGATGAACCAGGCGAAGCTGGCTTACTGGTTCAAAGGCAAAAAATTGCCCTCCTTGAAAAAGATAATGATAAATTAACTAAAGGGCATAAACAACTCATGCATGACAACGCAGAGCTACGTTGTGAACTTGTTAAAGTGGAAAAACGTCATAAGGTTAGTTGGTTGGTTGGTTAGTAATTATCATTACCTTTTTCTCTCTCTCTATCTTGTCGTTTGAATGAAAAGCAGACTGTTTATTGTAGATTTCATCCACTAACCGACATAAGTATTGACATTTCGCTATGCAACTAGGGCTTTAAAAATAACGAGGCGAGATCGCTTGTGATTATTCAACCATTGGGATGAGATTCAATCATTACGTATGAATTCTAACTGCTGGGAAATAGTGATGTCGATGATCATCGTGGAGACGGCTAGTTTGACATTAGCCGCCAATTTATAGCTGTGATGAGTTAGACATGGTCATTGGATGTGGAAGACATGAAAAGGCGGGTTAGTTGTCTTTGATCATAGGTGTCGGTGTTCCACTGTTAGCTGGAATAACACATGGCAAGTATTGTTATGGTTGGAAGTCAAATTCTAGTTGGGGAGGTAAAATTAGTCCACGAGGTTGTGAAGTTAAATCGATTGAGATGATTAGTACATGTGTTACGAATGTGTAGCCACCAATCGCCTTCCTTGACGGGTTGGGTGGGTAGTGTTAGCTGCTGGCATGTAATGGATCAAGTTGGAAAAGAGGCAGTGATGGTCAAACGAGAAAACCTGTCTTCGCCAGGCAATGAAATCCACAATAGTTAGTTTGAACTAGCTTACTAGTCAGTCAGGTAGCGATGTGTCGACTGGTGTCTGGTTGATGTCCTCGGGATGGTAGGAAGCAATGATGGCTGGAGACAATTGGTGGTATGGCTCAAAATCTTCTTCGCTCAGTGATGGCTAGCGCAGATGCACTCACTCTTTGTGATTTGTCATATCGAAGAAAACTGGATTGTTCCTTCCATATTACTATTCACTTTACTAGATCAGACTACTGTTCACCATCCGTCTTCTGATGAGTAGTCTCTCTTTACTTTCTTATCTTGGTTTGTGTGCTAGAAGGATGGAAAGTGACAGCAAAGTTTTATGTTGAGACCAGTCAGTCAGTGGTTGATCATCCGCGAAGCACACAGACATGTTATCAAGACTTTGTTTATGCAGCTGTGCCTCCATCTGACAAGTGATAGCCATCGTGATATCAGATGTGTGTGGCATAGAGATGAGGAAAATGAAAAAGGTACTTCTCACCGAATTAGTCAGTCAGTTAGTTAGTTATGGCCTGACACATAATTGATGTGTTATGAATGAATATTGTGTATATGGAATGGAGAAAAGTGAACTGATGTGAACTGAGTTTTCAACGTAGATCATCACTGTACAAAATACAACAGTTCCAACTGGTTACACTTCATAGATAGATGTACACATAAATAAACTGAAATGTCTGAGAGGAGGAATGACGACATCGCGAGAATAATGGATCCTTGATAGATTACAAAAATGTGAGTGGATGTGCATCATTGAAAGTAATTTTGAGCCATCTGATGGAGAATTTGCAGTTCCATCGGGATAGTGAGTCGTAGTCTGCCTCATAGTTGTTCCCCAGAAGGCTGATGGGTGAAAGGATTTGAATCCAACCAGTCACCTGGCCCTGAGCGTAACTCAACCTGAGTATCTGGCTGGCTAGCAGCATCGTTGGAAGTCTGTATTTTTTGTCTATCTACATACACTAATACTTTTGGAGTTGACGACGTTATTAAGTGTTAGAGAGGTAGACTGGCTTTCTTCAGTAATTCTTAGTATGTGCTCTGCTGACTTACTGGTCTTGACTGACACCATAGTTTGCGTTTTCACTCGAGAAATAACGTAGTCATCTTGAAGAGTTATTTTGTAGAGATCCGATTTGTTTTAAGTTTGACACCAGTGAAAGAATTATTGGAAAACCAGGGTGATGTACTGGATAGTATGGGACTGTTCAGCAGTACGCATCCATTGGTGTTCCAACTTTCAGGATCATTGATTTTTGGTCACTTGTAGTAACTGAACAAATCCTGACTACGGATGACATTGGCTGGTGACAGTCGCGTTAAAATTACGATTTGGAAGAGGTTAGAATTCATATGGCAGTGGATTGGATTCCGGTGTCGGAATGGTGTGAGAGCTTGACTTACAACTTTCAGGTGCAGGGTGCGTACTGCTGAGTAGTAATTTGAGTCTAGAGTATAACAACCTCAGTTCTCACTCTCGGGTTCTCCAATGTTTCTCTGAGCTTGTGATAAAAACTGCAATGTAGTCATCATTAAATTTAAAAAGGAAGTGAGTGTTTGAAGTGTCATGTGAATAATAAAAATGTGTTTAGAAATTAGTGGATAGGTGAGGTTGATCTGCGGGAAATTGAATCTCCTGATTTCACGATTGTTCATAAATGAAGGGTTGTAGGAGTTTTTTGGACAAAGAGAGAGGACGATTTGACAATTTTGGGGACAATTTTTCACCGACAAGTATTCTGATAACACAGATGAGAAATCTGTTTGAACGTCAATGGTTATATCTCCACCTATTTTGTTATGTTTTCTTTCTCTCTTTCTTTCTCATAGTGTACTCTGGAGCGTGTACACAGATTAGAGTTATCATTGAAAGAGGCTAAGGAGGGGGCTATGCGTGATCGTAAACGCTATGAAGTTGAAATTGAACGTATCAGAGGGTTGTCCGTCAACAGAATATCACTGGACGTCGTGGTCAATCACAAATCGCTAAACCTATACGTGCTGGACATCCACCAGTGTCCACTGCTGGCGGTGGTGGTGGTGGGACAGTAGTGACACGATCACATATTCCAGGGTCATCATAATCTCTCATATACCCGTAGTGATGATTATTTTTCTATATATGTACATATGCTTTCTTCAGAGTTTCATCTAAGTAGACTGTTGGTGAAGAGCCCCTTATGCTGCGTATGGACGCGCGTGCATTTGTGTGTGTATGGAAAGATATCAAGCTCTTAGCAGAAAGTTATGCGAGTACTATTCCACAGACCTGTGTCTTTGTGTGATGTTATGTGCTATTTGATTTTTCTCTATCTTTATAATATATATTTTATCTCACATGGTGTTTTTCATCATCACATCTGTGGTTGGGATAAGGTGGTATGGGTGAGTGGGTGGGGTGGGAGAGGGAGGCGTGGAACACACAGTTTGTAAATATCATTACTGTTGTTATCACAGGAACGCCTGACTTTTTCATCACATATGTTATTGATATAATTGCTATTATTGGTATTCAATTGGTGGATGGTGAACAGTAGTGGAATCCAGGATAACGCGCATTTGGGACGTCCTATTTGGGACTCGTCAACTAGCTGGATTTCCCAGTCAGTGATGATGTTTCTAACACTGAAGCTCGAAACCAGTGTTCATAGTTTCAAACGCCAAAGTGTTATCCAATAGACTACTTGGGCCAACGACGCTCAGACATCGTAGAAGCATCTGCACAAGAAGCCGACAGACATGTCGTCCTGAGATCGAGCACTTCGGTCCAATCAATCGACGGGAAAATCTAAAATTCAGTTGATATTATTATTATGACTAATTGCACAGTTTTATCATCCTGCTGACTATCACATACGACAGCGATTGGCTTATATTTTAATATTTATCTGAAAAGTTATGTAGGTATGTCGAAGAGTTAAGCCTGATGAGATCTTTCTATTATTATTTTTATTTTATTCCTTTTCAGTAGCAAACTCACCCCACTGCTACTGAAACTTCTAAGCTCTCTAGCTTGAAGCCATCTGTTCCATACGGAAAGTAAGGGAATAAAATACAGTTCGGCTGTCCTTTTGGTGAAGATTTTGTGTTATTTTCAGACATCTGAATATCCTCACCGAAGTGAAACAGTGTGCAATGTCAACCGTAATAGAAACCCTTTATCGGCTACAAAAAGCCAAGGTATTCTTCGTTTCCGACCTAGATCGGGCCACTGTCAGGTCACAATAACAGAAAGCGATCGAGGCAAAATGGCTTTCACGGTTGGACAGGAACAATACCAGTTTAAACGAATATCATTTGGATTGGTAGGCAACCCTTTTGCATTCGGAAGAGTGATGATCTTACTACTAGAGTGTCTGAAGAATGTAGAATTATGTGGAGACGAGTTGGTTGTGTATAGTGAGAGAGAATGCGATCATATGGACCATCTGGGAGACATTTTGAAGAGAACTGATGAAAGTGGACTGCGCATTATAAAGAAAAAGCGCCAAATACCGAAAGGAAGTCTTATCCTAATGGATTATACTGTGGGTGTGGGGCTTTATCCTTAGGTGAGTTTGCCTGTCACACTTAGAAAAAGACTAAATTCTCTTACCTAGGTCTTAAGCAGTGCTCTGCTTATCCTGCAAGTACCGAGGGACGAGTGAAAAGCAGAAATAATAAGGATTCGCAACGTGCCTGTAACCACTGGCATGTTTATAACGAATGTGATAGAATTCGATAATACAAAAAGGTTTACAACTTATCTGTACCCAAAGGAGTAGCGAGCTCGAAGAGTGTGCTCATATAAGAGCGCAGCGAGAGAGCAAGCATGTTAGCACCAAAACGTACAGGAAGCGAAGTGCAGTAAAGTAAAGTGTAGTAGCGGCAAAATTGGTTGAGTGAGTTATAGTAATAATGTATATTTTCATATAAACATAAATTTACATGAAAATGCATGCCATTTTTACAGGCACGATCTAGTATGGTATAATGTCAAATCTTAAATTGTCTACAAGTTAATAATGTTTCAACAGCTAAATATTGGATATGTATATATAATTACACTCATTGTCTGAACCAGGCCGTATAGTTATTGAATTGTACAGTTGTCCTCCAGGTTGTGCGGGAAACAAAAGTTCAGAGGTTCAGTGTACACTACAAGAGAGCGGGAAATGGATACTAATAAGTGTGTAAAATTTGGGCACTGTAGTGGCAGGTAATTTCATATCAGTTTGCTTATTAGATTGTGCCACACAGTCACAGAAACAGTATTATTTGCTGGATGACGTTTCGAACACAATTCACTTATTGTTCATAATCATTTGATCAATTATAATCACAGGACTTCGAAACTTGAGTTCTATAGTTTTCTTTGCCCTCTCCTGTTTGTTGTCGTAGGGGTAGTAGGATTTTCCAGATGTCCGGCGTGACAGGTGTTGAATCATTCCTACTACACGTATATTCAGGTGATTGGATGAGCAAAGCTTCTGTTATCAATCCTTTCCCTCCACCCTGCTGCTACATTAGATTTTAAAACTGTCATCTCACCCTATCCCATCCCATTGTACGGTTGTATTGTGTGTGATTGCATGTAGTGAGTGTTGTAGCTGAACTATTCTCTAGATTTCTCATCTTATTCGAGTCAAACAATCTAGATTTCGCTAGGTTTTTATGCTGCTTCACTAGTCTGACTGCACCTGTTCTACTACTCTGGCTTATGTATGTGACCTGACAATAATTGCAGAGTATTAGATAAACTAAATTGTTTTGTTTGAAAGGCTCCACAGGATCATTTAACCGACAAAGTTTGTTTCCCATTGAGTTTGTGGACTTGAATGCCAGCCACTTTTATTCTTTCCGGCATTGTTAAGGATTCTCTGTAAGGTTTCCGAGGTTTCTCCTTTGTATGGAATTAATACTGACGATTTAATTTTCTTATTGTTGGTGTTGTCTTACACATATTTGACATGCATGTCGTCACTATTATTATTATTATCACTATCACTACTGTCATTATTTATTTTATTTTTACATTTCCCTACATACTTCTTGATTAATTTATCAGGTTAATTATGAAGTTTCAAGGCTTCACATATATGCTTCACTTCCTATCTTAGATTTCGCTTTGTTACTACTTAGTTTTGTGCTCTATTATTTGAACATTTCACCAATCCTATTTTCACTGACATAGGATGGGATGATTGGAAGTCCAAATATCTGTTTGAATGTATGGGTTTCCAGTAAACACCAGTGTGTGTTTAACTTCCCGTCTTCTTTCCTTTTTTACGCTACAATCTAACAATGGGAGTTCCCCTTTCCTGACTTTTCAATTCATCATAAGTGAATTGAATTGCCTCTAACTTCGAGTCGATGTGTGATTCCCACATTGACATCTCTATTTTGTGCCGACTGCACTATAAACAGCGTCGGACAGATAAGCTAATGAAGTATCTTCTATTTTGATTTTTCCTGTAAATAATGACTGATACTTATCACTCATTGTTGGTCAGGTATCTTCACTTCTGTCTTCTCTATGTTCATATGAAGTCTTGTCTTCTCTGCTTTCTTCTGTTAATTTTCACGTGTAGTTCTTCAGTTTTATTTAACACTAGACCTGAATAGCCTGAATATCATAGTCAAGGAATGTAAGGTGTTAAATCAATATATGTAGGTATTATATCTCGCTTGAATGCGTTTTTATCTTTGTCATTGTTATGATTATTATTATTATTGTATTAAATAGCCACAGGCGCTTGTTATACATTATCTACGAATGTTTACTGATGATTTAAATGTTTTGTATTTCGTTTATAATAATTATTATTCGTTTAAATTTCTGGGGCAGTTAAACTTTTCAACATTTCAACAAACACGTATCCAAAAATCTGTTGAGATTTATTTGAGGCTAGTCGTTATTAGTTCGCCCATAATGAAGTCACATTGATTGAAACGATTAGGACATGTGTTACTCACACCTAGCCATCGCCTATCTTTCTCGATGGCCAGTGTCAATGTCCAGTTCTTACTAAGCTGGACCTCACTCTGTCACTGGAAGACTTTCAGAAACGATTGGTAATAACCAACGCGAAAAACCAGAACACAGATTGGCGACTCGAGAATCCCTTATTCGTACACCAATATGTAGCAAAAAATAAGGATATTATACACAAGGTCTAAGAATAAATGTTATAACAATAAATCACAATGATACTTCTGATAGTTTTCTATCTTCCACTGAATGATCGAATCACGGTAGGTTTAAAAGTATTTATGAATTTTGTTTTCTTATTGAATGGGTTGTTATTCTAAGGATGTGAGCACCCTGAGTAGGGAAGTAGTCATGGCGCATACACTGCTTTGATAAGTTCACTATGGCGGGATGAGCGTATTATCGTCGCATAGAATCTGGCCTGTTTGCATAAGCCGTTGTTGCCACATTAAATTACATTAGTGGAGTAAATAATAAGAAGTAAGATGATGGGATGGATCATTACCTAGTGACGTCTCAGATCGCACTCAAATGAATGATAACGCAACGCACAAACTATCCTTCTACGGCGCCACATCATGGTCTGACCACTTCTCGTTTCGCTTTGAATCAGAAGACTGTCAGACAGTGAATGGTATGGAAGCTATCAAGACAACATTTGTAGCACGTGCTGAAGCCATGGAAGGCGTCATCGCAAGATGATATCACTTTTGAGAGAAGGACTATGTCTACCGATTTGTTTGTTCTTCTATGCAAACATGTGTTGAAATTCAGTCAGTCAATTATCATAAAAACATCCATTCAGTTCCAGTATTATTTCATCCGAACTTGCTGCCTATTGTGTTATCAATGCGGTTTTAATCCGTAATTGGGCAAAATGGACATCCTTCCTCAGTGATTATATTCGTGTTATCTTTTGTGTTATCCAATCTTCGTGTTTATTAGATTTTGTAATTTTATCAATTTGATTCTTCACCGACCGGAAATAATTATGAGACTTTCTCACCCACACACGAATTTACGGCCGAGTTGATGACTTGATCGAAAAGAATATTTTCTCCTCTGTAACCGTCTTTTTGATTCTGTACAGGGGAGAAAACATGTTTATATTAGTGAGTGTAATTGAAGGGAAATGTAGTCAAATTAGTTAGTTAGTTGGTTAGTACGTTCGACTACTGGCTCTTGTTATCAGGGAATATTTCTCGAAACTTTCTGAGACAGAAAGTGATTAACTGAGACGTACATGTATGTGGCTGGCAAAGAAAGTTCTCTATATAATTGACAGAGACTAATACATCCAACTTTCTGCAGTGTGAAGTTGTTTGTGGTACATAACGCAAAGTGACAGTGGCCTTACCGTGTTGCCTATTCTATTTCA